AGCGAGTGCTGCCTCAGATGCGGCGAGAGATTATTAAAAAGCGAGATAGAGACCTTGGAGATCAATTAAAGAAGAAGAGGTCACACAAGAAAAAACCCATTGGGAACGGTGCACGGCGTCGCGACTCCGTATCGAAGCTCTCAACTACGACACAGAGTGCGCCGGTGTCTCTGCTGACGTCGTCATCGACGGACTCGTCTGACTCGTCTTCGTCGTCCTCAACGCGGAGACCAGTATCAGCGCGGAAAACCGTGACGATGCCAAGCACTGCGTCACAGTCAACAAACCAAGCACGTGAAGGGGAGACGGACGCGTTTGGTCGATACCATTGCCGTAAATCGGTGACTGTCGACACGAAAAAATCACCGGGAAAAGCCAAGTCTATCTCGCCGTCGTCGGCGTCTGCAGTGTCTGCCAGCTCGGTGTCTTCACCGTTGCCATCACCATCGCCGAGAAAGAAGCGGCGGACGTTTACTTATTTCGACACGGACCACGTGGCGCTCGACGACCTGCAAGCTCAGGAGCGAGAGCTGGCGTGGATTCGGTCACAGTATAAGCAGACTCAAAATCAACCTCGTCCTGCGAAGGCTGCTGCGCAGAAGCGAAAGCCGTGCCAGGAAGTGATCTACATGGACGACCACTCGGACACAAACAGCACGGTGAACTCCGAGGCAGGTGCTCGTAGTGATGCTCAGCAAGGTCAGAGCAACCCGAAGATGAAACTTTCAGCTGCAGTCGACAGAACTCCTCAGGTGGATCCTCGTAACGCGATGCTCCACCCCACGTCATACCGCGGCGTTTTCTTTGACGAAGCACCACCAAACATTCTCTCGTCGCGTGGTCAGACATGCAGTGTCCCGTTCGAGTCGAATTGCGACCACCCGCTCACATTCTATGGTATGTTAATGCTGGTCGTTGTTTTGGAGCCATTTTGCTTTGCATTTCATATTTATATCATGCAGCTCTTTTTCAGCATTGTTTGCTAATTCTTTGTGCTGTTGCCTTTGATCGTGTAGACGAAACAGACACGCTGGCAAGCCACTGCTCGATTCTGGAAAGCTTTGGCAAGCCCACCCAGTGCATTTCATCCGTGTTTCCGAGCGAGGTGGAGAAGCCTCAGAGTGATGTCACTCGCGCTGTGAGCTCCTTGGTAACGGCACACCTCCCAATCATTCGCCGCTGCCATCGAAGGAAGGTGCAAGCTATCCTGACAGAGGCGCGTAGGAAAATTGCTTTATATCAAGCAGCACTGAAGAAACACAAGAAAACTTCGCGCGATGAGAAGGGTACGGACGTATGTCTGATATACTTACGCTTATACGGAGCTAACTTTGTGTGATCCTGATGTGTTTATGCATATGTAGCGATGACTTCACATCTGCTACCCCGTTCTAAGGCGGAGAAACACGCCGTCAGGCAGCTCAAAGTTGTGCAGCGCACGTGTAGCCAGACTGCGGGAAGCGTCTCCTTCCAAATCGGTCGTGGCGACAGCTTCGTGCGAGAGAGAGCTGTGTCGTCGCTGATTCAGATCAACCGTGTCGAGGAAACTAGACCATTGAGGCGGTACACGACGAGCATTGGGCTGCGTGCCCACTACCGTGTGGAGGACGATCCAATCTTACGCTACACTGCCATTACAAGGCCGAGTGGAACGGGCGGTGGAAATGAAAGCGGTGAGAAGTACGGGCTGCAGATAGGCAATGTGGCCGATGAAGAGGTGGCGGAGTTCGTGTTGAGACTGGTGGTTGGTCGTCTTGGCGACTCGGAGCAGGTGTTCCATGCGCTGAAGACCGAGCTCGGCTTCTCCCAGGCGTACACGGCGTACTGTGAGTTGAAGAAGCTGCACGATTCGAGGCAGCGAGCAAGCACCAGATTGGATCGAATGGAGAAGCTGCGTGGAGATGGAGATAATGCGAAGGATCCGGACGTCGCAGCTATTGT